GAGAGAGAGAGAGAGAGACGGTTGGGGGTTGTGTGGGAATGAATTGAGAAATTAGGTTTTAAAGGATTAATTATTTAATTAAAATGATAAATTTTTTTTTTTTTTTAAAAGATAAAAAACCTGATAAATGAAAAAAAAAAATTTTTTTGAAAACCTGATTTTTTAAAAGGTTAAACTTAATGCCTGGTTTTTGGTAATTTTCCCATCAAGATAAATGGATTTAAGCCCATAAAGGCTCACCAAGCCCAAAATACCAGTTATGATAACATATAACCTATTGGGCCTTCAGGCAATGTTAAGCTAAAGTCCAAGTAATTTTCTTAAAACAAATCCCAATTAACATTGCACACTAGAAAAAATTCTAACAGGGTCAAGTTTAACCTTGTTTAGCATAGAACTGTTGATTCAGTTGTCGTGACTATTAATATTAAATCTTGCTAGATCGAACTTGTACAAAACTTGTTCCAACCACTTCGTACCTATATCTGTTTGGACCTCGAGAGATTTTCCAAAGTCCACAGAGCAAGAATTCAACAAAGAAATCTTGCATCAAATGTCAAATATATATGCTGAAGTTTCTTCAAAATTCATTCAAGAGTATGTTGATTTCTCATCTTCAAGTATTCTATTCACACCAAAGTCAAAGTTTCAATAAAGGCGATAGAGTTCCTCCTTATCCACCCTAATGAAGAAAATAAATTTTGAAGTATTAGTCCCAAACTATTCACCCAATATAGTAAACCGGTCTCCGATTTTCCATTTCCTTTCATTTTTATTTGGTATTTAAATTCCCGACTTATCATTTCAATAGCACGCTATGGTCTTCAAATAACATAAACCATCCAAATAGGGACTGTTTTGCCATTAAGTGAAGTGGTCGATCGAGGAATGAATTCTTTCGTGAAAACCCTTACACGGACATGGGTGGTTTGAAATTTGTAGATTATTATAGCACTTTCGAACTTAAAACTTTTATGAGACATAATCAACACAATCGATAGTACCAAACTTATGAGTGTACAAAATAATTTCACTTAAAACTTCAAAAGACATAGGAAATGAAATGGAACCAAGTGAATTTTTTACCACTACTCATTTCCTCTATCTGGATAATTTCTTTCTAGTTAGGGAAAAATTGAATGAAATCAAATCTTTTCCGACCAAATCCACAAATAGCTACTCGTTTCCTCTATTTGGCTACATGCTAATTCACAACTCTCCTGGATCCATGGCTACTGAAAAAAAATTTAAATCATTTACGACCAAATCAACTAATTAAAGCTTATGTACACATATAGAGACACGATCTTCCCTCACTACTATGCAATCTCTGAAATATTTGAAGTCGAAGGAGCATATATAATTCTTGCTATCTTATCTTATAATTATTCATCGTACTTTCACCATTGTCTTTGCCTGCCATCGTAAGGCGAATCATAGACGTCCATTTGAGAATGTTGTGGTTGTTTTGTTTCCACGGCCGCGACACTCCATATCTTCACCGACTTGTCAAGACTTCCACTGTACACAATGCACTGCCTATGGCCATCCGCGGAGGCTCCCTTATCCTCAACTGCCAGGCATTTCACCGGACCACCATGGCCGATCAACACGGACAGACAAATATGATTTCCTTCTTCCCTTTTCCATACACAAATGTTTGCATCGGCTGATCCACTGAACACTAGATTTCTTGCTGTGGCCAAGCACAAGACTGCTAGTTTATGGCCCCTTAAAACTCCACAATGAGAAAGTAACTTATCGCGCTCCCAGAAATTTACAAGCCCGTCTGATGATCCTGAGTAAACAATGGCAGATGGGTCGACAGCCAGTGCAGTTATTGCACATTCTTGTCTCAACAACGTTTTTAAGAAATTATGTTTTGTTCTTCCCTGTCCTTGTGATTCTCTTCGCCAGACCTTAACAGTACCATCTGCTGAACCTGTTAAAGAGAGAACTAGATCAGCTTAAACTACTATCTATTTAAATTTTAACTATTTATGAAACTTGTGTATGTTGCGGGACCGGGGTTTTGACATAAAATGAATGCTTGAAGTGCACATTAACAACTTAAAGTGACGAGAGGCTCAACCTGTGAATAATAATCCATCAAAGCCTGCAACAATGGAGTTTACTGCATCATCGTGAGCTTTTATTGATTCCAGACACTTGAAATCTGAAACTCTCCAAACCTTAAACGTTTTATCCCAAGAACCAGAGTACAACAACGATTTGTCATCGCTTATACTGAGAGACGAAATGGCATCGAAATGTTTGATCCAAACTGCATTACGATGTCGTCTGATTTCAACATAATTTTTCGGATTGAATGAACTTTTTATGTAAGCCTTAAAAGTTGGCAATGTTCCAATCCGCTTATGAATATTAGGGTTCTTGCCGGAGACTTTCCATACCCTGATTTTCCCATCTTGATGGCCGGTGAAAATTCTTCCGCCGGCTATTATAATAGCTTTAACCAATCCACTGTTTGATTTGAAACCAGTAAATTCTTTCTGGTTTTTCCAGACCCTGATATTCTTGCTGTCTGAACCTGTATACAGCAAATCCGCGGAAGCAGCTAATGAATATATATGACCCTCTTCACGTACAAGGGACCCTATTAGTCCCGTATAAGAACAACTGCCATTATCCATCGCTGGCAGAGCCACGTGAGAGGACCATGGAGATTTCGATAACGGGGACGAGGAATATTGGTCTCGTGAAGGAGTCGGATATGCTGATGTTTGGCCCGATGAGGCCGTCGAAAATGGGGAAGATTGATACCATGGCGCGTTGTATGGAGAGTTGTTACCCGAGGTCATTGGATCCTGATTTGCAGGGATGAATTGAGACTTGTTTGTGAATCGAAAGGATAAATCTTGTTGATCATTTGGATCGGATTCCAACATTTTGCCAAAAGTTTGTTTACGAAGAACGTTCGTTTCTTTAAACATATTGCCTGTTCTTGAATTACTCATCGTGTAGCTCTCTGCAATTAAAGAAATTCGACGATGATAATGAAGAAAGAGTATCAATATACAGAGTTTGAGGACCAAAAAATTGCATGTCGTAACTCGTAAGAAAATTGAAACTATGAGAGAGAGAGAGAGAGAGAGAGAGAGAGAGAGAGTACAAAATGGTGGCTATTATATGAACTTGGCATATAAAGTGGAGAAATGTTAATCTTTGAATTCGGGGAAAGGTGAGACCTAACTTGTTGAAATTTTGTATCTAACTATATTGAGAGTTAATGTATTTTTGAAATTTCTTTAGCTTTCCAATATCTATCGCACAAAGCATTATCATTGTTGATACAAGGATAAGATTGAGAGAATATAGTTAAGATATATCGTTATAATATAATATTTGACGCAACGCTCTTTGATATATTTGGCCCCTTCAAAGTTTCCTCTTTTTGGCTTATTTGGGGAATAAGTAACTTTTAAGGGGCACACGTAACGACTTATTATTATTATTATTATTATTATTATTATAAAAAAAATCTATATATGTACGACTTTTATAAATAGACGAGGATGATATCAATTGAACCATTTCATTTAAAATTTAAAATGTTAGAAATAAATATTTTTTGTTTATTTTACAATAGATCGAGTTCATAATTAACCCCAGGATACAAGAATTGTTTGTTTTGTTTTTCGTTTTTAGATTCAAATTCAAAAAGGTATCATTAATCCAAGGCAAGTAACTTTTATTTTTTATATAGTTTTTACGATAAGATAAACTTAAAAGCGGTTATATTCACACCACATTTTTTTATAAATACATCACATATTAATTATATTAAAGATCATTAATCTTTATTCATTATCACTCTTATATACTTAACTTTTCTCTTCATCACATTCTTAGTTTTAATAATTCATTGATCAGAAAATATTGTCATTAATCACATTTTTGCATTATTATTTATTTTTTCTTATTTAGCCCTTGTCTGAGCCCATTATTTGGTTAAGAATGCATTTTGGAATTAAAAAAAATGCTACATCTACATTCCAAGTATACATCAAGCATAACATTTGATGTGTAGTAAAAAAAAAAAAGATTGAAGGAAAAATTGATTAATATTTTAAACTGTCAATAGTGTGTTGTCACGTGGCAAAGTGTAAAAAATGATGTGCATATAGCATGATTGTTTTGGAATAACAGATTAATGAAAAATGTGTGGTTAAAAAATAAGAAAAAATTTGGGTTACGTGTAATATTATTTTATTGAAGATTCTACGATTAAAAAGAAGAGAGCGAAAAATGTATTTTGAAAATAATTGGGATTAAATAAGGGCTTAATTTCTAAGATGAACGTATAAAACTAATGCTAAATTATTGAGCACTTTTATGTCGTTCTTAAAGAATATATTGCCAAGAAAAATTAAAAAAAATAATAGATATGAGGAGATAATAAGTTTGTTTGAGGTCAAACAATATTTTTTCTAGATGAGAGAGATATGAAAGAGAGAGATAACGGTGGCCATTGTATTTATGTGCAGTTGAAATATAAAGTGGACAAGAAAGGTAGGTCCGTGAAGATCTTGATCTTTCGATTCGTATTGTTAGTACATTTTGTCAACCCCAATTTGAAATGTTGTACAGTTAGTTTCTAAGATTATCAAGAGATCTTTTAAATATAAGATAAAATACTCTCGATTTTAAAAATTCAATTTTTAAAATTATGTTCCAAAAAAATATTTAAAAAAATTAAAATTTTATCTCTCACTCTCAGTTTGTGTGAAATATTAATTTACTTAATTTTCATAAAGTTAAAAGTTACCTCTCTTTAATATATTATTATTATTATTATTATTATTATTATTATTATTATTATTATTATTATCTTCAATCACTTTTATTTATATATGAAAAAAGAAAAAATATTTTTTTAGATTAATAATATTAAGTGTTAAAGATAAAGAGACTGGTGGAGTATTTAAAAATTTTTACTCTTTAAATTTATATATGATTTCTAAATTATAAAATGTGATCGTTAAAAATAGAGAGCTTTTTAAAGATATTCTTATATTAGTGCTACATTTTGAAAAAAAAAAAAAAGAAAAGAAAACAAGGGTTCATTAATTTCAAAATTTATTTGGTGTTGGTAGATTGGATATCGTTACGTATATGTTTATTGAACGTAGCCATACTAATATGTACAAACTTTTTTAAAAGTTTAATAAATAATGAACAAACTTATTTACCTAAGCCCTTGATTGATTTTCATTATTTTTAAAATGTATTTTTCTTTCTTTTTTTTAACTACACATTTTTCAATAAAATAGTACTACACAAATTAAAAAAACTTCCTTATTTTTTAACCACACATTTTCCATCAATCTACTATTCTAAAATATATTCTACACCAAAATGGGGTTCAAACAGATCTCCACATTCTACAAAAATTCATTCTTTCAAAACTCATTTCAACCACATATTCTTCAATAAAATAATATTTCTCATCATACCCAAAACTTTTCCTTATTTTTTAACCACACATTTTCCATCAATCTACTATTCTAAAATATATTCTACACCAAAATGGGGTTCAAACAGATCCTAATTTCTGCTCAAAGTCTTGGCATGTGTTCATGTACTCAAAGTGTCACACTAAACCACATCATCTCAAAATTTAAATTATTAGAAATGACATAATTATTTTTTTTAAAATTTCTTTTCTATGGATTGAAATGTTCGAAAGTAATCATAAGAGATACAATGAATTTTTGGTTATTGGTCTATTCATATTTGAAATAACTACTATTAATTCAGGGCAAGTATTTTTTTTGGACAAAATTGCAGCAGCGATTCCTAACTTTTTTGATTTTTGCAGACTTTATCACAACCTTCAATTTGTGACATCAAATGTCCCCAACCTTTCAAAAATATGTATCTGTGGTCCAGATTGATGGAAACCATCCAATTGACCGTTAATTGACCAAAAAATATGATTTTGACCAAATTTGGTAAGACCATTATGACAATCACGTATTAAACCTTATAAAAATCAAATTAAGCTAAAAACAACATCTCAAAAAAATAAAAATAAAAAATCATATTCTTCCACATCTCACCCACATCCCACTCCCAAAAACCAGAAAACACTTACACACTTATTGCCGACCACTACCTGCCACTGCCGCCATTGTCGGCCACCTCCACAAACCAAAATCAACATCTCAAACAATAACACAAAAAATCTCCTCCAATTTGAAAATTAGAATCTCAAAGCCAACTCCATCGAAATGGGACCATGAATTGAAATGTCTAGTAAATCTATTAAAAGGAAGAGATAAAAATCGAACAAAAGCTTTCCCCAGCAATTCAAATGCTGATGACAGGAGATTGATAGCTCTGATACCAAAGAGGAATACTCGAGTGGAGATGAGGAAAAAACGATGGTGCTGGCTCTACAAGTGCTAGTCCATATGAAGTGGCAACTAAAAAAGTAGATCGTGATGATATGGAGAATCAATAAGCCTGTTATAGTTCTGCATCGGGTTTGCGCTCTATGTGCATAAGGGATATGGGGACGGAAATGACTCCAATAGCAAGTCAAGAGCCCTCGAGAATGGCCACTCTTATAAGATCCTCCACTCCAATATCAAAAAGTCTCATATGCTCGGGTCCGTCAACTCCAATAAGAAGTTGGAACGGATTGCTAGCTCTCGAAAGTGATCAAACTGTTACAATCCCCACTAAGATGAGAGATGAGGCTGGCAGTTTTTAAGATTGTGATTTTCAAATTGTTTTTGGTTTGCGAAGGTGGCCGGAGATGGGCGATAGTGGCACGTGGTGGTTGGCGATAGCAGGTCGATAATTGGGTAATTGTTTTATGGGTTTTGGTTTGGGATATGTGTTGTGTGTGGGGGTAGGGGTAGGGGTGGAAGAAGATGATTTTTTTAATTTTTAATTTTTTTCTCTTTTTTCTTTATTGTTTTTAGCTTAATTTGATTTTTAAAAGGTTTAATATGTGATTGACATAAATGCCCTTACCAAACTTGATCAATATCAAATTTTTTGATCAACTAACGGCCAATTGGATGGTTTCCATCCCATTGGATTCCAGATGCATATTTATGAAAAGTTAGGAATCTTTGTTGACACAAATTGAAAGTTAGGGTAAAGTCTGCAAAAATTGAAAATGTTAGGGACCGCTGCTACATTTTCCCTTTTTAATAGTAAAAACTTTAAATTTCATTAACCAACATCATTAAAATGACAAGTGAAGAGAAACTCGGGATACAAACAACCCGGGTGAAATGTATTTGGGTAGTAGTAGCAAAGAAAGCAAATGGTAAGCCACCTCATTCCTTGAATGAGGAATATGTCGGCACACCTAGGGATGACAATGGAGCAGGTTAGGGCAACCTCCCCCCATCCCCACCCCGTTGGTAATTTCTCGCCCCGTCCTTGCCCCATTGCCCATTTAAGGTGGGTCGGGTCGAGTCGGGGCTAGGGGTGTCAACGGGTTGAGCCACGAACCTAAATTCAAAGCTCGGGTTCAGCTCAAGTAAAAATGGTTCGATTTTTTTTTTGCTCAAGTCGAGCAAAAGCTCTGCCAAATTTTTTTTAATAAATTTAAAATTTGTGCAATTTATACGTATTATAAATAATGACTTAATATTAACGTAGTAATTGTTGAGACTCTCTCTTACAAATATGGAGAAATGTGTGTTTTTTTTTTTAAGGAAATCTAATCAAGTTAGACTTTTATTTTAGCAGGTGAATGTGCTTTTTAAAATGTCTACTCGTCATTTCAGTTTTTGCAAATGAAAACTGGCAGGGAAAACATTTGTGGATTTTATTACAAAATACACTGTTTATATTTTTGAATTATAACTCCTTGGTTCAATGGCAATTGAATGGTGTAGTTATTTGTTTGTAAAATAATCTTATATATATGATGATTTTGGGGGAAACTATTTATTATGTCTTTTATAGA